AATGGTCACATTTTTACCAAACTTTCTGGCAAAAGAGACTAGTTGGACCACAGCCCAGTAACAATAGTTATTTAAAACGCTACTCAAAGATAAAAATATTTCATGACACTAGAATGAATAAAATGAAATAAAAATCGGTCATCGGACTTGCTTAAGACAACATTTATGTACAAAATGTACTGCACGTGGTACTGATAGATCAATGAGAACCTTCGATCAGTGCACGCCCCTCTCAAATGCTCACAAACCGACTTTCCACCAAAGAACACAAAACTGCACACACGTACAGGCAAGGTGATATGTTCATGGATATGTAGCATGAGAAAAAAATCACATAAAACATTGAGTTACTTCAAAAACTGAGCAAAATGTTAAATTCATTGTCGCTCTGTCTGTCATCGGGCATAGGGTTAAGGTCAAACATAAACAAAATTGTAATTTCAGTGACAAAAGATGACAGATTTGTTTAATACATCCAAACTATAATATCATACATTGCAATACAGAAGTGTACTTCGCATTATGTGTTTTATAAATTGTAGAAGTTCATGTTGAATGGCCGATGGAAGGCGATTTTAAAATGGAGTTTGTGCACAGTTACCTAAAGAATTCCCATGATGCTCTGCTTATTTTGTTATTTTCTCTATTATTAACGCCATAATGCGAATATTGTTTAATGTGAAATATCTGTGAACATATTCCCCACTACTACACGTTTATTGAGCCGTGTTATTTTGAGGGGTTGTGTGCAGCATGGAGCTCGATGTGTGTCAGTGGCGGATCAAGAGGGCACGCATGACGATTCATATCATCTGGATTACGCATAGCTTCTCTGCGATTTACGCTCTGTAATTTTAAGCGAAGTTTGCTCCCCCCAATACATTTTGCTGGATCCGCCACTGATGTGTGTACCTCGCTGTAAGCATCATACAACAAACGGTAGAGCCAGAACAAATCTCTAAACCAGTTCATTGGCCTATGATGCAATCTATCTAAGTGAACACGCCCCCATTCGTCGATCTGTTATTTGGCCCAAACATGGCGAACGTTATGCATATGATATTAATAATTACTTTATTCAAATCATATCCATTTGCTGGTATGTAATTTGTTATCAGTTATTTCTGTATTTTTTTGTTACTCCTGTGTGCGAAGCACACAATGGGAGCCTTTGCAGTTACCCTGTCTGTCTGTATGTATGTCTGTATGTATGTCTGTATGTCTGTATGTCTGTATGTATGTCTGTATGTATGTATGTATGTATGTATGTATGTATGTATGTATGTATGTATGTATGTATGTATGTATGTCTATGTATGTATGTATGTATGTGTGTGTGTATGTGTGTGTGTATGTGTGTGTCTGTGTCTGTGTCTGTGTGTGTGTGTGTGTGTGTGGCGGGGGGGGGTGTCTGTCCGTTCCACTGATATCTCTAGAACCGTAAGTTGGTTTTTAATGAAACTTGCTGTAGATGACATTTTGCATGTGTAATGATTTACATCTCTATGGGTTATGCTGCAAAAACAGCTCTGTGGTTACTGATTTACATATGAACTGAGTCAGGTGTGATATGGAGCCAGATGAGTGTCGCGCAGTGATCCGTTTTTTTTATTTGAAAGGACGCACACCAAAGGAGACTTTTGATGAAATAAAAGAAACTTATGGTGATGATGTCCCATCATATGACCTTGTAAAACGCAGGCATCGTGAATTCAAACATGGCCGTAAGTCTGTGGAAACAGCTCCCAGGCCTGGTCGTCCCTTTTCTGTAGTCAAGGTGAGGCAGCCATTTTGGAAGATCGACGCATTACTGTTCGCAAAATAGCCCAAGAGGTCAAGAATAGTACAGGGTCTGTGGAAACTATCATTCATGACCATTTGCATATGCATAAGGTGTCTGCGAGATAGATTTCCAGGTTGCTCACACCTTTCCAGCAGCAAGAACGCGTTGAGTGCTCGATGATGAATTTAGGGATGCGCCAAGAAGACGAGTCCAAGTTTTTCAAAAGACTGATTACACAGGATGAAACTTGGGTCCATCACTATGATCCAGAGACCAAAACCCAGTCAATGCAGTGGAAGCACTTGGACTCACCACCTCCAAAGAAGTCAAGGCTGCAGCCCTCCACTGGCAAGGTCATGCGCAGAGTCTTCTGGGACCAGGACGGAGTAGTGATGACAGATTTTCTGGCAAAGGGTACCACAATTACAGGAGCCTATTACGCTTCACTTTTGATGAAATTAAGAGAAGTTATCAAAATCAAGTAGCAGGATCAGCAAAGCTATCCTCCTCCTGCAGGACAACGCTCAGGTCCACAACTCGCATGTCACCAGATCAGAAGCACGGGCGTGTGGATATGAAATCCTCCCCATCCCCCTTACTCTCCTGACCTTGCACCCTCTGACTTACATCTCTTCCCAGCCATGTAGCTGTTTTTGAAAGGAAAGCGTTCCCAGATGATGCAGCCTTGATTTCTGAAGTTACGACGTGGTTGGAGGACCAACCCGGGATGTTCTACAAAAACGGTGTCCAGAGCTGCATCAAACGCTGGGAGAAATGCATAACTTTGGGTGGTTCCTATGTAGAGAAAGAGTTATAAACTGTGCCAAGTTTCATTAATCTCCTGCTATGGGAAATGGGTCAAGGGCATTACATATTGAACACCCCTCGTAGGCCACTTGCATGCATACGCCATGTGTCACAAAAAACGTTCCTCAACCAATTGCTTAGATATGGCTAAACATGAGCAAAATTTTTTTAAATTAAGGGAAACGACGCCTTTTTCGATGCAAAAAATGTCTTTTTGTCCAAAAATAAACGTTAAATTCTAACCCGATCTTACCATTGTCACGAAGAGTTTGTGTCTGTGCTCGGTTGACGCAGTTCATTCTGGTCACACGGTATAGTTGTAGTTTAAATATACACCATATGTTGTAAAGGTTTCAATCGGTAGATACAGTGACATAAGTAGACAAGTAGACAAGACTTTACTTCTGTTTCTGCTTGTCAATATTTGATACTTTTATATTGGCTTTTTAAATTTGTCAAGGTTTTCTGTATTGTTGGAAACCACGCCACCTCGAATCGAAAATATTCTCATTTGTAATCTAGATAGCTCAAGATAAGCTTGTAAATGAAAATACTAGCAACCAACATCATGTGAACATGTCACGTGAAGCTTGTTCCAATAATTCTGTAGGTTGGATGGAAGTGAGGTTCAAATAGAACAAAAATATTATTTTCTAACTTCGAAAGAGCAATGGACGACTGATCCTCCCTTATACCTCGCATTGTTAGGTTTAGTTGACACGGAACCTAAGAATCCACGTCTTGGAATTAACCAATGGCGCGAGTCCATGCACAACTATTTGCAAGATTGTGCCTGATTGGCTATCCAACCCTTACACCTAACAGTCAGACCAATCAGAGAGCAGCTTGTTTGTTCACATGTATAGAAAAGCTACGTACATATGCTTCGACAGTTTTATGTGCTGCAACACTCAAGTGACCGTGTTTTTATTAATTTGTACCGCAACTGTCACGAATAAGGGAGTTTCGGCGAATCAGATTGTGGTTGCGAATACACATAAATAATGGTTACTCTCTGATCTCATACCACGCCATAACTAACCACCATTCAAGACAGCAGTGATACTGTATATGTTACGTACCGACAGCTCTGAATACGCGACAAATTGAGTAATTAACTATGTGTATTTCATTTGATTTGATTCGCCCCATACCGCGACAAGCGTGGTAAAAATTGAATCATGGTCATTTTATAGTTTCGAAAGTTAACCCCGAGCGCGAATAATTAAGTGACAATATTGTAACTAGTTGAAACACGGTAGTCGTAGAACGATGGTTAGAAAGAATTATATATTAGTGTGTTCGAATTTCAAAAAACAAATAACATATTTTGCAATATGAATCCAACATTATCAGAAAACGTACGTTCTCTTTATCAAATGCTTTTAAATTATTTGACTTAATAGTTGTACCAGTTATTTGCTATGAGTTACGAACGTAGAAGTGTGAAGTTTACATTTTGTCATTTCCTACTGGGCGTAAATAGTATCAGACAGTACTATGTGAATGTGAAAGATTACCACTATGCTGTATATATTTTAAGCGATGTATTTTTAATTGGTTGACACTGTTGGAAATAGATAATTGTAGGAATCCTCATGCATGCTATGTTGTAAAAACTACTTAATTGTGTAGAAAACGAAAACCACTTTATTTAATTTATGCTAAAAAAGTAAAATAAATAAAAATCGTTGTTTTTGGTAATTAAATAAAAAATGACACTTTATCCCCATTTTGCTGTCAAGAGGTTAATAAAATATACCTAGGTAAGTTACTCTAATCAATATATTGTATAACATATACAAAGATAGAAAACATATGGTAAAAAAATAAAATAAAAAATTAATATCTTCAGCTCAAGTTTTGAGTTCCACTGTTCATTTTCTTTATGATGGTTCACCCATAATACTTTGCCAGATAATAACGATGATGGATGACATATACAGTAGAATATGAATATATATATTATATATATGTATATGTGTTTCAATGTGGAATTTATTGATATATATTGTCGGTTATGTCGTCATAATTGTAGTACTTTTATGAGCCCATGATATTTCACTGGTGATTAACGTAAGTTGTAGTGTAATACCAATCAAAATTACTTAATTCAACAAAGCGGGTATATTTATATTTACTGCCAACCTCCATACGTACGTACATAACTAGCTCTCAGTTTGAATAGTAGATGTATAATTGAAATATACCCGACTGATATATAATGAAAAAAATGGTTTGAACGCATTTTTTTTATATAATTTAGCACAACTACAAAAAACATGGTAATACGTAAACCTTATGTTATCTGACCACATAATGCATTGCTTAATGCATGTTTGTTTTGGATTAAATTATTGTGCTTGATATGAAATGTAAAGTAAATTATATTTCGATGTAAAAAGAAATGAATGATAAACTAATATTTATTATTCGAACACAGGATTAGCCTCAAAATTTATAACAAACAATCATCATGGACAAATGTTAATATTACGGTGTTAAATTTCAATATGATTGATAACTTGGAATATTTAAGTTGACCATAACTATACAATGTACCAATGGAATGCTGATGCTATTATACGAATGAATTATATTCCATGTAACAGCTTAGGTATATTCAGTATTTATCTCCATTTTACAATCTTCTTGTCTGACAACATTTCTCCTTGTGGCTGACCAACATTTTGTGGTAGTAAAGCAAGATAGACAGGAGTCTCTGCTCCTTCATCGGGAGTCTTTGTTCCTTGGTGGCTTGACATATCAGTCTTCACATAGCCAGGACAACACTGAAATATAAAATATTGTATCTCATTAGTCTGCATCATAAATATATAAATTAGAGTTTACAAACACAATACCAATCAATTGTCATCAACTTTTTTACTTCTTTAAATTATTTTTAAAAATATAGTTATAATTCAAAAGATAGTAATAAGAATTTTATATCTACTAATTTTGTGTGTGCAAATTTTACTTTTTATATTTAATGTAGTTAATTTACTAATATTTTTTTAATTGTCATTTTTCAAATAAAGAACGATTCATTGGTCACTCACTGTATTAATAAGGATATCTTCTCGGGGGTCATTGTTCAAATCACGTGCTTGGATTCCAGTCAATACAATTACACCAGCTTTAGCCGTACCAGCTGCAGAGTTAGGATAACCTTTCTCAGTGTGAGTTCCATCGCTGGCAGCACTTTAATATAAAATTGTGTCATATCAGTATATATAAATGGTACAATGTGATTGGTGAATGCAATGATACACTGTTCCAAAAACTGGCAATATCATGTGATATATGTTAACTTACTTCACAAAATCTTCAAGAAGAGACACAAGTTCAGTTTCTGTCAGACTGGGTGACTTGAATTTGCTAGCACGTTCTGGACTCATCTTATCTAGAGCCCATGTTCCACCAACACTCGCAACATTTACAACTCTGTAACATAATTTTTTTTAAATGTGATGTTAACTAAATATGGTAGAATTTGTTATTGAAACACTCGTTCAAAGAGCATCATGCTGTGGGAGGGTATATCTGTGAGTACCACTAACCAAAATTCATTTATCTTAAACATAGTCCTGCAACCTATAGCGTTACACAATACAATAATTCCCAGTATTCTTGTAATACGAACTACAAGTACATTGCCAACATATAAATACGTCAGAAGCAGTATTAAAACTCACTACCATAGCATAGTCCCTCCCCATTTTAGGCAGAATGGTGAATCATATAAAATATTTTCATTGTTCATAAACAAAGCCAAGTAGTTCATGGTGAGGATGACAGCAGGACACCAAATCGGATTTAAGAATGTAGAAGAGATTTTCACACTAATTATCAAGAATTGTTTGAAACCATCTGAACTATATATTTAATTTAAGCTCATAATTAACACCACATAAAAATGTTACTTTAGATGTAACTGTAATGTGTTCATGTGACTGCTAAGTAAATACATCCTTTATTGAAGATTCAAATTAAAATGGGTATCACAAAACACGAGTCATACCACTTTTTATTTCTTTTAAAAGTTTCATTTTTGCCTTTTCACTAGACAATTGTGTCTGTTTTTAAAATTTAGAGATTGAAATCTTTAGAAAGCGTAAATGTAACAAAAACCCCTGTGATGTCTGTTATGTTTATATGTATCACATCTACAATATCTGAAAAAAAAGTGTAAAGGTCTGACGAATGTCGCTGAGTGGTACACATTTGATTGATCATTTTGATGTCAGAATATACACTAATTTGCAAATTAACAGATGAAAGTGGAGGTGCTGCCTTGATTTTTCAAATGAGCATGAAATTTTATGTGGCTAATGTTTTGGCGTCCAGTAAAATGTAGATCATGATGATAGGTGAGCATCTATCCCTAAAACGTTTTCATTTGTTAGATTTTCCAAATACATTTTGGTCATCACAACAATGCAGGTTAATAATTTACAACTGTTTTAAGTATGTTCCATTTATGATAGAGCTCTAAAATTTGAGTCGAATTTTATATGTATGTACTATATATTATGATCATTTATTCTTTTGTTTATTGCCACCTATTTTATTACACTTTTGTAACAGTTATAATTAACTCTATCAAAGGTATATCAACATCCCTTACCTGCCATGTGGTTTGATCAGTGGTAATAAAGCTTTACATACATCTAATGTTCCTGTGAAGTTACAAGCTATTGTAAACTTGGCTTGTTCAGCAAAGGGGGTAGCATCGTTTAACTACAACGAAAAATGTTTACACTTAATTAAAGTGTATCTATACTGAAATGAAGTGTACAACTTACCAATGTGAGGTTATTGACTTTTAATAACTTTAGGTTAACAACAGATCAATGTTACATGTTATTATGTATCTATGGTTCAATGTGATTTACAACAACTTTCTAAAAAAATTATAAGTAGGTTTTCTCCTTCTCAGTGTATCCATTCTGAGAATGACTGTCTCTTGGAACTTTATCAAAAGGTAGACAGACTTACATTATACTTGGATATTACGTACAGTCAGAAATAATATATAACATGAAATGTTGACAACAAATAACAACGAACCTGTCCACCGTTTACACATAAATGTCAACACAGATTAATTACACTTGGTTAATGATTAAAACAAGATGCTACAAATGTAACTTCACAACATGTTGATATACAGTTGATTTTGATTTGTCAAAACAGGGAATAGTATCAGTGCATTAAAGGGTGGTAGTCGTTGCGCTGCACATGTGCGACACTTGTGTTGATACACATTGATTTTCCCATCATTCAATGCGCTTTTCTAATGAAATCACGAGTACGAGTTTTGCCCTGGGCGCCACTATTTAATAACCAATAATTACCTCCGGCGAGTCCTTCGATAACTTCCAAACACCCAAAGTCGTCATCTTTGTTTATATGAGACATATGTCTCGCGCATGCTCGGCGCGACAACTACCGCCTTTTAAGTATGCCGTAGTCAATGAAGGAAAGACATTTTGTACCTTATATGCGATAGCTGCATTGTTGACAAGTACATCCAGTCCTCCATATTTATCTTTCAAATACTTCTGTAAATTATCAATACTTTCTTGGTTTGTGATATCTAACTGGTGAAATTTGGGATGAAGACCTTCTTTTTCCAAATTCTCCACAGCTTTCCTTCCTCTTCCTTCATCTCTAGCTGTGAGATACACATCACCATCAAACTGTTTGCACAGCGCCCTCACTATAGCAAATCCGATTCCTTTATTGCTTCCTGTGACCTTGAAAACAGATGGGTGAAAAGACAATTTGATCGTTAATCCAAAGATAAATTACGTTTTATTGTTAGTTAATTATACTTCACTTTTACAGGTTTATGTCTAGCCTTAAAAGCAAATGTAATGTAATTGGGGATTTACTATTAACCATCAGAATTAAACAAATTCAGTTAAATTTGGAAGGCTTTTCAGTGAAATGAATTCACTTGCGAACATTATTAGGTTTACATTATTATGTAATAACGAATGTAAAGCTATGACGTCATACAATGTAATGATGATTTACAACCCATAATAATGAGCCGTGTGGATTCTTTTATTTCAATTATAATACCTTGAAATGTCGAAAAATTGAATTTACGTTCAATAGTAGCATGACGAAGAAGAAATCAACATTGTTGTACGCGCATCTTAAGCGTTATTTCAGTTATGGGAAAAACATTCACAAGCAAGCATTTCAGAAATCCCACTGAATCATAGTGGGTTTGTTGTCCAAACAATAGGTGCAAAAGTGAGAAAATTTCGAATAATGCTGCATCACACATAATCTTGTTTTTATGTTTGTGCATTGACGTCGCTAACAATGTTGCGCGTGATACCGATCGACCAATAAGAAGTACAATTTTGAGACAGAATGTTTACTTAACTTCGATTGATGAATATCATGTCTAGGAGAGCCTGAAAACAATTTGTGTTGTAGGACATCTAAGTCACCTCAGTCACCTTTAAGCATGGCGTACATTACCCAGGAACCTTGAACGTAAGCATCATGCAAACAACGGTAGAGCCAAAACAAATCCCTGAACCAGATGCCGTTCATATTCAGTTTATTGACCTACGTTGTAATCAATGTATATGAACATGGAATAACATAACAGTTCATCCCATGCGCACCATAGTATGACTGGTCACGGTTACTAAAAAAGACGGTTAGGAAACGCTATTGTTAAAAGGTGTGAATCTGCCTAATTCCTCAAGGATGCGTGTCGCGCTGTGTACGCCCTCTATTGCTTGAGATTTCAAGGCCAACTATTTTGTTTCATTTTTGTGTCGATCACTTGATGTTCCGCGAATTGAAATTTTAAGCTCGTTTTCGATAGAATATCCACGTTTAGTGCA